ATATGAATGAATGAATGAAATGTTCAATCTGCGCGATTCCGGAATATCTTGAATTATAATTCTGGTTACAGTTTCTGTGGCCACAATTTACATATTTATAATTTCCTAAGATAATGTCAGAAATTCAAATTAAAGGGGAAATATTTCTGGAAACGTAATGGACAAACTCTCTTCATTCCCCTAAGGTAGTATTCAGATAGGGAAGTAGTTTTTTATTAGTAAAATGATAATAAAATCACTTGTAGCACATGAATTATTATTTTTAGAAAGCTTCACTTCTTTCATTTTTTTTAATCCAAATGTATACTGCCCTTAATTGGGTACAATGTACCACGTACTAAAAAACTTTATAATAAAACAAAGAATTGCCACTGTTCCTGTCACCTTATTGGACGCCATTACGCTCGTGAATATATTCCGAAATTGTACAGAAATCCGATTTGTGACCATTTTACCGTGTAACCAATTCTTTGAACAAATGTAATTATTAATAAAATAAATGATTTTATGTTTATTAAAGTAAGGATTAGTAAAATAAATATTTTTTTCGTTTTCTTTACTGCTAAAAAGAAACAATGAATAATAAACTTCCCATTTAAGTCACGAATGCCAAAATGTGTATTGTTGTACAATCGCGATATGCTCTCGAGCAGTAGAATCGATTATTTTTAAAACTTTGGTACTCAGCTGTTTCTGGTACAATGAACTTCCAATAGATGCCAGCAGTGTGGTTACTGTAATTTTGGCAACCATGAAGATGGCTGACGGCTCGACTATTTTGAGAAGAAATCGGCCGGGAACAAAAGCGAAGGTTAATTTATCAGCATATTAAAATACAATTAGAATGTAGTATATGTGTTATTAAAACTATTTTCTAGCCGTAGACGTATGAATTGTGCCGCGGAAATAATTAAAACACGCTTCTTTTGATGAGTGTGTAGTATGTACCTTAACATGTCAATACCATTACCTTCCACACCATTAAAGTGTGTTAATGCCAATATCTTGGGTATCGTCCCGTTGCTTCTCAAAAAACCATTATTGTGTAATGTAGCCATACAAAGGATGTGCTTTAAGTGTACATAGAGGTTTATTTTCATTTACATTAGTAGTATAGATCATGAAACTAAGTTAACATATTTTTTCTTATTTTTTTCAATTGAGCATTGCTTTCCATACAAGAAAGAAAGATAGTGAATATTTTGCAATGATCTTCAGTCCCAGAATAATGTTTTTCTGAAGATAAGCATTATGCACCTTTCCTACAGGATTTTAGCCGTTGGCCAGATGAACCATTCGAAGAAATGGACAGCACCCTGGCTGTGCAACAATACATCCTTCCAAACAGCAAATTCGACGTGATCCAGCAATATTGATCTCATACTTACTCCCCCAGGATGCTCAAGATGAGGGAGTGTGGAAATACGACACTTGAGGCATGTACAAACGTTAACATTGTAGCAAACATCATAAAAATGTTGTATTTTGCTGATGTTATTTAAGAAGTTGTAATTGAATTTACTTAGGCAATTTTGTATGAATTAAATTGGTTTGGCTGTACGGCCTACAAGGGAATGCCATCCTGAGACGTGTACACAAATGACTGCCACCGAGCAGTGGATATTTCTATGTGCAAGCTCATAAAACACCTAAGGAGTGCCCAGCAATTGATTATACTCGACATACTTTAGATGGTGCAGCTTGTTTTATTAAATACAATAAATATTTTTCCTAGCAGGGTTGAATTTAATTTTCTGCATTAATGTGGACTTTATATTTTTAGAGAACTATTATTTCATATGATTGAAATACTTGTTCAGAGTTAGCATTAAGGAATCATCTGGTAGCAAAACTTGGATCAGTGTGTCGGAGAGTATATAGGATCTTTCTCATGCTTACTTTCATCATCGAACGATATTGAGAATTCGAAGTAAGTTTTTTTTATATAGTAAAGATGCTAATTCTGAGATTTACTAAGGAAGATTTATTTGGTTCATAATTTATTGAAAATATGGCACTGCCAATATGATATATAATATATATGCCAATATTTTTGAATCTAAAAGCATGCCATAGTTACATGGGGAAGCATAATGTGCAAAACGACTATTGAAATGAATTTTGTTTCTGAGAGGTTGGACTTAACAGTTGAGTTTATGGCCATGCACATTTATTTTCTTTTTGAATTCTTTGTATTTTCAACAAAAGTAATAAATTGTCCTGGTTGTGGCATCAGAATTGATTGCGGATATGCAAGAATCTTCTAAAGGCTGTATAATGTGAAGAACAGGCTAGACATAATTTACAGATTTAGTTTTTTAAAAATTAATTTTGTTTGCTAACTACTCAATTTATTCACTTTCAAAACTATCTTTACTAAGAGCATTTTAATGTTTGGTAACTTTTCTTTGAAACAACCTTTTTTTTTCTTTTGCCAAAAGCAAATACAAAACCATCAGTAAACAGCAGTAAATAATTAGAAACAACAGATTTCAAAAACAGACTGTGTAGCAAAATGTTAACATTGTTAGTTACCAAATCGAGCCGGATCAGTTTATTTATATTGTTGATTTACATGTCTGAAATCCTATCGTTAAAACATTGTTTGTTCACAGAATGAGACATATCTGTGTCGTCGCTCAGCAGCTTCGTCACAAAATACAATTTTGATGTCAAGGATAATCTTATTGTACCCAATTTTGGAGGAGGAGGAGTAGTGGTGCAGACAGATTGCTTAAAACCCAGATCTGTGACACCAAATCCAAGTCATTGAGACCTCAACCATTTATCATGTCACTAAAGTGTTAGAAACAGCAAGAATTGGTGCCATTATGAATAATTGAAGAGTGGACCCTTTTAGTAAGATACCATGAAGTGAAAACTACTTATTGACTGTAGTCACAAGAAACTCAAAACGTGTTTTAGATTCTTCATCCTTCAGTTGAATTAGCCTCATAGTTAAGGCATTTTTTTCGAGGAGAGTTTTTATTTATTTTTCAAATTGCATTTGCTTGTTTACATTCAGGAATTGTTTTGTTATGAAGCTTCAAGCATACTGCATGAGCTTCATGTTCACTGTATAGCAGTGACAGCGTTGACTGTAGGAATACTGTATATGTGTAAATTATTACATGTGCCGATGCGATTTTTGTATAATAGTCCAATGTATATACACATTTCACTGCCTAATTTCCGTTTGTCCTGCCCTATTAATTTCTTGCCTCAACATTTGTTGCTCATAAGATGGGCACAAACAGACCTTCACTGTATCCAAAGTATATTTTAATACATAGATTAAGTTGCATAACTTCCTGTCTCGAAGTTGTCCTTGTGGTCTTCATGAACGTTTATAACACAAACAGGAACTTCACACAAATTCATGATCAAACTATTTATAAGTAATCCTCAATAGTATGAGAGGATGGCTGGTAGTTATTTTTACAGAATGAAACAAAATGTTCCTTTTTATTCATGAGAAGAAGTTGAAGTAATAATTACCTAATACCAGTAATACAGACAGATATTTGGCCTGTCTCTTAATTGTATAACATGTGTGTACTGAGCTTTGTTTTTGTGAGATTAAAATCTTCCGCAAGATTTGATCATAAGTACAAAATGTGTTCAAAAAGTGACAAATTCAGTGGCATAAAAATAATTTATATCATTTTCTTCCTCATGAATTTCTATAATTCTGTGCATCCTTGAAATCTGCTTCCTGGCTGTGCTACTGGCATATTTTACAATAGTGGGACAAAAATACAGAAATGTATAGCTCTTTGATTTTCATATCCAGTGTTGTTTTAAAAAACAATTTGTACATCAGAAGTGCAATAAACCTTTAGTTAATGTGGAAGAACTCCATAATATACACAGTTATTCCCAAATTCTACAGTTGATTATGTTTGTTTTAACTGGTTGTTTTGAGGAAGGAGAACAATATATCTTTATCCCTTATAACTAGTTATTTTAGTTATTATGTATTTTCTTTGCCTATTTAAAAATATTGTTATTTCAAGATTTAAAGTAGAAAGTCAATGGATCACTGTAAATTAGAAATGCTCTCTTGCGTTGTAGAGAATGTTTACAGTAGTTAAAACTTGTATATTTCTACTCATCTGTACTATAGGATCTATCGTATACTGTTTTATCAAAATCATGAACATCATGAATTAATTGATGTACAAATGTGAACTATAAGAAAAATAGTACTGCAATTTGAAGCAACTAGCAGTTGTTATTTTATAGTTAGTTATTTTCCTTTTTCTCAAATATTTACTTCTATTGTTGTTTTGGTATTGAATGTAGATGATGGGCAGGACAATATTGGCAAGTGTTCTGGAAAAAGTGTATATCTGGACCGAAAGTGTGAATGTTGAATGAGATTGTAAATGCCCAAATGCAGAATGTTGTTTTCAAAGGCAGTACCTGCATTTTCATTCGTTTATGTAAATGAAGATGCAAGATCAATGTGAATTAGAATGTGAAATTATTTGGGCACATTAGTCCCGTTATACAATTAACAATATTTGGCTGAGGCCTATAATTATACAAATATATATATAAAAGAACGATCAATACTTTAAGATTTTATAAGTTTGTGCATCTGCTAATCTACCATTGTATGTTAATTTTGCATTGTAATTATTTAATGTATAAATCATTCATTGTAAGAATGAGATTATATGAAATGATAGAATGAATAAATTATGCTGGAATTTTAGATAATAATATCTCGTTAAGTGAGTGTTGATACATTTTTATTTTCAGATTTCTTGTTTGAGGCGAGTGAATTAATTACACAGGACTTTGACTAACAATTATTTTAGGTCGTATCGAATGTTCTAATTTAGAAAATTATAATTATTCCACTCTTATCACATACAGATTTTGTATAATATGCATTTAACCTCTTTGGTAGTGTAACGGTTAGCTTATCAAACTATTATACTCTTGTTTGTGGGTTCAAAACTATGGATTTTTTAGAGTGGAAAAAATATTCCCAGATGCTTTATTTGGAGAGAAAGTAAAACCGGTTGTCCCATGCTGCATGTTAAAGATCCTGAAGCCTAAAAGAAGCTAATTTTGAATCGCTGTTTCCACGCCTGAATGAGACCTCCTATACTAAGTGGAGAAAGAAGAATTGTAGAAAATGCATGGTCTGGCAAAGGAGCAGGTCTTATGGCTTGAGACTCACCATGTAAAACAGGGCATTATTGAAATTTGACACTTAACAGTTTTGCTACCTGTGTTGAAATTGTTTGAATGGAAGCCTATGAGCTTGAACTCCCTTGTCTGGCTTTCCCAACACCACATTTAGCAAGTTATTCATGACAGTGACCTCGAGCAAAACTGATCTTTGTCCCTTACTCCCTGTTGCTTATAAACCATTGTGTGCTGGAGCCCTATGCTCATCACATTCATTCATTATGTAGCAGAAGGCATGGATCGAATGGCATCGCCTCATGTCTGTGGCCCCGTTTGAAACGTGTATCATGGTATTGCAATTTTTCTTCAAGGAAAATTGTAAAGTGTGAGTGGTTTTTCAAGAGCGATGTGAATAATTGGAAATGTGTTGCTATGTGATTAAGTAACAGAAAATAAACATTACTCCATTGAGCAAAACTTCTTACCTGAACTATTTTAAAGCCAAATTAAGGGATCATGCCAAACATTCCTTTCATATATTGTTTATAAAACTTGCATAAATAATTGAAGACCTTGGTTAAATGGAGGTTGTTGTTCTATTCTGTTTTCAATTTCTGTGATTTGGCTAGAATAATTAATATTACAGTGACTCTTATTTTTATTTGAGTACAATGTTTGGATTAGTAAGAAAACAAGACCCATCAAATATTCAAATCTGCTATCAGCACTGAGGCCCATGTAACAACCAGTGGTTCTAATTCCAGATCAACCAACAGCATTTCCAGAGAATACTACCAGACCTTCCTCAATTTTGAGTGCAAAAAATGTAAATATCGCAGATGAAGAGCAAGGATTACCTACATAATCAAGTTTCGGAAGTGATAGGATCTCCAGATCAAGTGAAGAAACATTGGGAAGTGGGCGTAGCTAAAAGGAATAAACATTAGACCTGATTTACATGCTTCCTTTTGACGATTGCTTTTCCAGTTTTAGCAAATGTGTGCATGGAGGAAGTGGCTTCTGGAGTGATAGAGCCGCTCAATGGATGTGCGCATTCTCTAAAATTCCAATATTATTCATCAATAAGAAGTGTATAAATTGGGTCTTAGTGTCAATACAAAAATGTAATAAATTACTTACCAATTGACTTGCAGACAATGTTTCTACCTCCCTCCCCCTTGTGTCGCTTTTGAATAATTGAACAATTTGTTAAAAGCCTGGGAAAAAAAATTACGCCTCATTTCAAAATATTCTTCTAAAATGTCCATTGGTATCAGAAACAAAATTGTAAGACATCACTTTCGGTAGCTTACATATTTCCTAACTAATTTTTGATGCTGGTTTTGGGACTCGCTCAGGGATGTTATCAACAATTTTGTGGATGAGGTTTAAAATGTTATTTATGAACCTATTGACAAAATGATACTTGAACAATTCAGTCTCTGAAGTGATGTTAGTTTCAAGTTACATTTTCGTATTGAATATTTCCTGGAAAACATAGAACCATGAAGTGAAGAATGAAGAAAATGATTGTTAAGATATAAAAGTGATGGAAATGAGATTCCAAGATCAATGGGATGTCTCCATGGTGGTTGAATACTGCTGAAGTTAAATAAGAACTTGCACATCAATAGATCCTTCACTGTTTTTAACAAAAGTGGATAAAATAGATATCTTGCAGTGTGTTTGATATTTCACTATTAATTTTAATCATTTCAACACTATTCATGATTTTTGTCACATCTTACACTGATTTACGCATTGTAAAATATGGTT